AACATCCTGCAGTCATAGAATAATGTGACTTTTCTTATTTTTATGAAAACTTGGATCTGTGGTGATGAAAAGGGGAAAGGGGAGCTTGGGCAAACCATGTCATGCTATCATGAAACAGGAAAGAAGAAGGTGAAAGAAATATGTAGGCGTTTAATGAGTATTAGCTCTCTTAGGTGATGTTGAAGTTTCACCCATTATTGATTGGCAAGACTGGGACATGGAAAGCATTTGTGGTTTAAGGATTGCTTTACTGAAAATGAGAGAACAAACAGGTGAAAAGAAATGCACACCTTCTTTTCCAGCCTGTCAATCAGCTTTTGGAGTCTGTTTATCTGGGTCATCCACTGGCTGTCGTCCTCAATCCAGCCTTCAGAAAATATAAATAACAAATGTTTATAAAATGTTACTAAATGTTGGAACATAGTATATTCATTTATTTTATTTAAAAGTTTAGGTCGCAATTTATTTTGCTTCTTGACGATTGTGCTGCAAGTAGTTCAATGTTCATTTAGGTGCAACTAAAGGAAAGCATGATTTTGACTATAGGAATTATCTTCTTTCTTTTAAAGATAGAACAGAAATCCAATACAGAATGAAAACTACATTCTAGATTAATGCCAGTGCTAGAGAGAGAGAGAGAGACTGTGTGTGTGTGGGTAGGGGTGTGGGTGGGTGGGTGATGGGTGTGTGTAGGGGTGGGTGAGTGTGTGCATCTTATGTTGAGGGATTCCTGAAGGAGCCTCCTAACATAATTGTAGAACGTCTCATGTGCATGGGGAATAAGGGGCTTTCTCTTCATTCATAAAAGGCTCATTTGGCTGCAACAGCTGTTTTTATACTTATACTCTGAGGGGTTTTCACAGTCATCTGCAATATTCTGTCTTGAGGGTTTTCATGTGCTCATCCACTAATTATGGATATAATCCTGCAGTGGACTCTAGCTGATTTAATAACGTTATCTGGATGTCCCTTGCAGCTAATGATCCTTCTTTACCTTTCCAACCGAACAGCATTACTACTTGCTTGATAAATTGCAGCAATATGATTGATCCTTCCTTTTTCTAGAATGAGGTTTTGAGATGTGTAATTTATGCCTGTGGTGACTGCAAATTTTGATCAGCTCAGGACTGATTATGTTTCATCATAATAACTTTCCTATGTTTATTTTTCTCACAAGTCATGAAATTCAGCAGCAGAGGAAAGACTAAAGAGACTGGATATTAATTATATCTTGTTTCTTTATATGGATAGGACATGATCCTGTCGTAACACTTCCTAACTCTTCATCTCTTCTGCAGTCTAACTTGTGACTGTATAATGACCTGATGTCATATAGCAAAGGTGAAGCTAGAAAATGCTGTTCTACAAAGGCATAAGCATCTCTGAGCCTCTCTAAAATCTCTGGAAAATCTCTCCAGAAAATTGTCTATCAGATGGAAAGGAAACAGATATGTGTATTATGAGAACAGTTCCTGGCATCTTCCACAGTGTGAATGTGTGCAAAAGTGATTGCTCTAAGGACAGAGGAAGGTTGTTTATCAGAAAATGAAGATTTTTCAACACATGCTCTTGATATGCACATTCATTAACCTGATCATTTTCCAGCTGGAAATGATCAGGTCATTTTCACATTTCTTGTGAGAACTGGACTATTTTTTGACAAGTAAAGAAGAAATCCTGATGCTGGGGTCATACTGCAGGTGTGATGTGTAGAAGAGGCGAAGTGTGGCTTTACCTGAGCAAGTACAAAACCTAAAGAAAGGCTGGCTTCAGTGTTCACTGTTAGTTACTGTGCATGCAGGCAGCAGGCAGTAAGGACAAGACCTTACTGCCTTGTGTTTACCAAGACAAACACAAAGCTTGTCTAGGAAAGTAGACAAGCTATTTGAATAGCTTTTAGACAGCTATTAGAATTACTGTGGAGTAAGATGTTAGCTCTTTAAAATTACATTAATACAGTAAGTGGATTTGGTACAGCTTCATATGTTTGGGTTCCTTCTGAGGACTGTGAATGAGCAGTGCAGCAGCAAGGCTATGTGACCTTCCTTGTTCTGAACACCAGCAACTCACAGCAAGGGACCAAACATCATCCTACATCATTGTGCTAAATGAACAGCACCATTTGGTGAGTGGCAGAAAGTCAGGAATGTTGGTGACAGAAGGGTCTTCAAAAGAGGGATAAGAAGGAAGAGGTAAGCACATGGCTGCAAACAGTGAGATCTGCATGACTTCTCAAGAAGTGGGCTTGGCTTATCATGTACTTCGGTGTTTCAGTCATCTTCAATGCCTTGACTTTAGGAGATATCATTAAGCCTGGAGATGCCTTCATTGCAGCCTTATGCTTATTGTCACTCCTTCCAAAGAATTCTATTTACCATAGCACCCTCTCATGTTTTCCAAAGCGGAAATGCTGTTTCAGATTTTTTTTTATATAATCTTAAATTAAATCTTTTTTTCTTTCAGGTTTTGCATTTTCCGTTTCAGTTTCTTCTTTTTTCCCCTCCGCTAAGGTGCAAGTCATGACAGAGAATGTGGTTCTGTATAAGCTATAGCCTTCCCTTTTTCATTCTTATCTGCAGGCTACAAATATTACCTAAGAATTGTTGAATCAACCCCAAAATGATATCACAGTTTGGCCCATAATGATGTATTTATTTTTCATCAGTTCAGATCTATAGGTACCTATTTTTTTTCCTTATAGTTTGAGCTAATACCTTATGCCTTCTATATTAAATTGAAGATTGATTTCTGTCAGTAAAGTATCTGAGTTAGTTACCATTTCTAAATTAAATTTTTGAGAGGAGATACATGTTTATTTTTCTGTATATATGTGTTGTAAATATCTTTAAAATGTGAAATACCATACCTGTGCTAAAATGAGGGCTGTTTGGTGACAGGCTGTTGTTCCTCTGAAGCCTTCGAGTGGAGCGTTTTCCTGGCCATTGAAATGAAAGCACTTCTGGTTTTGTTGGATCTTTTCTGCACAGAAACACAGGAGACTTCATAAAGTAAAATATGTGAGAGAGCTCTCCTCTGTTCTCAAAAAATGTTCTTGTATGTTTCCTTCTGAATTAAAAAAGGAGAAACACCTATTGAGACCACTGAATTATGTTCCAGATTTGCACTGTTACTGATTAGTTGTGTTTAGGTTGCTAGTCATTAGAGAAGTAATCAAAAAAAGGAGGGTTAGGATGGCATAAACCTATCTTTTAGGGAGAGAGAGCTCGAGGTCAGTGTCTGTCCGTGATGGGGTTCTGACCTGGCCTGAGGAACGATTCACGCTGTTTCTTCATTCATGGGAGTTTCACAGAACCTCTGCAGAGGAACTGGGGTCACAAGAACAGCTAAAAATGAGAGATTAACTTTAAACATTGACCCCTCCAGCTTAAAGACTGGAAAGATAAGCAGCAAGATATGTTAATAAGGAAGGAAAACCAGTAAGAATTAGCTAATATAGGATGGAGGACAGATACATCTCTGGGACCAGTACTGAAACACAGCAGATACAGAAATTACTTACGTTCGTACTGAAATGACAGAGTCATTGAAACTTGAGAGTTTGTGTGAGGACTGAAGGATGTCTGTATATGTGGTGGTTCATCATCCAGCCAGCCAGCCAATGAAGGACCAGGACTATGGTTAGTTTTGAACAGTTAGTTGGGTCAGTGGTTGCAAAGAATATTAGATAGCAGTCTAAACAGTTCAATAAATAATTCCCAGGTCACTGCTTTGGAGAGCTCTCTGGTCTCCAGAAGCACAGAATGAAAGCTCACCAAAAGCTAACACACTATGTTAAGGAGATGTATTTTCTGCAGCATAAAATCCCTTCACAGTAAGCCAAGTTATGGCAGTTCCCCACTGTGAGCACTCTTAAGTTAGTTTAGGAATGTCTTAATGGGGTTTTGATTCAGACAGTTTGCCCCCTGAATTAAGTTAAACATAACTGAAGATGATTTTACATAGGGATTGGGGCATCTGTTAGGAACTAACTCATCTTCTCCGAAACAGCTGTAGTTAAAGTGATGAATTTGCCTGTCTTTTCCATTGCTGCCTCAGAAAATGGGGAAGATGCTATTTGGCTTAACAGTGTCACACCTCTTTCTCATTTTCTTTGCCATAAACCAAATTCAGCATCGAAAAGGACATTTCTGAACAACTATACTGATAAAACTGGAGCAAGAATTCTCCACAATGCCCTATCAGCCAGTCAATGCAGATGAGAAAGCTGGCAGCAAAAAGGGATATTCATATCACTCAATTCTATGCGCCCAAGTGAGTAGTTTGAGTTACTTGGATGGTCTTTCTAGACTGTATTTCTAGAGAGGCTGTCCTAAAAGGCAAGTCAGAGAAGTCAATGATTACTCCAGAGGATATAAGAACACCAAACTTAGTTGGTGTTGTGAACTGTCCATTCAAGACTTTTTTCTCTCCCATTAGTTGTGTGGGGAACCTGGAAAGACGTATGTATGAATGTAGGGGTGTATATACTGTGCATACTCGGTGCACCTGTGGTTGAGCTGCTGGCACAAAACCACAGTGCACTACAGAGATCTCAAAACCAACAGCAAAACAAACAAGAAAATGACATTTCCAAAAGAAAGAATAAAAAAGCAATGCATTTTAAAATGTATGAAGTATTGAGATCTTTTTTGTCCACGAAACACAACAGCTTGTATTCTGTTTTCTCTATCACCTTTAATAATAGCATAATGAGGAAAACAAACCCATAAAGCCAAGTAGCTTTTAAAAAATGTTTTGATTCTTGATCCTACAAACCCTCATCTATGAGGTCATAGTATTAAAGTCAATTAAACCCCTTGGACAGATTCAGGTTACCCAGATGATTGAGAGTTTATAGAGTTAGATGTTAACCAATACTATGGCCCTATGTTCTAGGAAGAAGCTGTAACAAGCAAGAGCCCAGCTATTTCTCCTCTTAACGTTGTGTAACGAGGAATGAAAAAAAAAAAATAAATCAGAAAGCTGGAAGAGATAAACAAGGAGACAGTCAATGGTCTTAGTAATTTCAGAGTTTTTCATATTGCAGTGGTCTGGTTTCTGCATTTGATGTTAAATAGTCAATGGATTTAAAAAGTCAAAAAAGTCAAAGGAGCAGAGCCTAGGATGTAACAAAATGGTCCTCCTATGTGCAACTGACCACAGGATCGGATTGGAACCTGCTTGTATTCAGTTTCAGGAAAACTCCTATTAGAGAGTTCCTATATGGACTAAAAAGCATATTCTTATTTCTACTGTTATTCCCTACATCAGGTTGTGGAATATGATGTGGAATTATTACTGGAGGCAACTTAGAAATCCGTCTATACCTACATCTCAAAAGAAGGTACAGCACGAAGGAAACTTGCAGGGTAGAGTGAGGTTAGTACGCAAGAAATCCATTCCATGGTAGTTCCCTAGGTCCCTGACTCTAAAAGAAACAGCATGGAGGGTGAGGTGAAGACACCACGGCCAGGCTCTGTGCATAGCAGAGGGGAACGTGATGGTACTGTGGAACTGATAAACTGCATGGTTGCTACCCTGAGCCAGCAGTTTCTCATTGTTTTGCCAAAACTATGTCCTCGGTGGAACTTTGCTCATTATAATATCATTATAATGCCAAACTACATCTCCATCCCAAAAGCTGCTTGCCTCCAAGGTGCGACCACCCCTCACTGAGCATGCACTCTGAATTTCCTCTGGTCTATACCTTTAAAAGCAAAGTGATTATTATAATAATTATAATAAAGGTATGTACGACTAGAGTCACTCAAGCTCCACCTGAAACTAAGAAAACAGTATAAAATAGCCTAAGAGAGGGGTGATGTTAGGGAAGATACCATCAGGAACCATCGCTGACTTCTGGGACAGGCTGAGCCTCTCTTCCCTCCCATAGGGACGCCTATTGGGTGAGATTCAAACCTTCCCTGGGAAACTTAGAAAATCTCTATAGAGTTGTTTTTCTTTCTCTTAATGTGTTTGTAGATTTATGTTCTTAAGTATCTAAACTTTGTTTTCCTTAACAAGATTTATGTTTGTAGATTTATGTTCTTAAGTACCTCCACTCATTTTTGCAGACAGTATATTTATCACTGGCAATCCAAAAGAACCTGTACACTGTTGCTTCAATAAAATGCACCATTCATTAATCCAGGCGTGACAGTCCTCATTGAACGCGACCAAGTGTGGCTGTGTAAGTTAATTTAAATGTGACTAGACTGGAGGTGCATTGCACTGTCAGGGAATCCAGCCGTGAGAGTTCCCAATGAATGTGACTGAGAGGCTGTGCTAGTTCATTCAAACGTGACTGGGCTGTACTGGTGCACTATTAGTGAATCCAGAGCTGTGGTAGTTCAATATATTGAACGCGACTGGACTGATAGTGCCGAATTGGGCATCACTCAGAATGTAAGCCCAGCCTCCCCCAGCCTCTCTGATATCTGAAGATAAGCTGGAATGCAAGGGGCTTTATTTTCTCTCTGCCTTTTTAATGCAACATCAGTGAAATGTAAAATGGTCTTGGAGGTTCACAGTGACCTCACTCCTCACCCCCTTCACTGCAGCTGGGCAGGTTTTCTCACCTCTCCTGCCGAGTCTGCTCCTCCGTGGTTTCCATGGCACACTCCAGGGAGCTCTGGAGGGACTGAAGCTGGTTCAGTGTTTCCTTCAAAAGAAAGCGAGTCACAAACTGCTCCAAATTAGAAGCTTCTTGGTAGTCCTAAAAATTACATTAAAAAAAAAAAAAGGTAAGGATTTGCCTACTAGGTTAGAAATATGTGAATGAAGATTCAGATTTAAATCAGAAAGGAAGCAGCTTGGATGTTTTTGTGCTTATACATGCAAACTACATAAGCAACCTTTAGGTTTCTTGACAAAAACACTCCTGAATTTCCAGGTATAGACATTGATCCCACTCAAGCACCTGAAAAAGGTCCTTGTGATCTTTATATATATATATATAGATGTGTATATATATACATACAAGATCTTTATATACGATCTTGTGTATATATATATTGTGTGTATATGTGTATATACACACACAATATATATATATTGTATCTGATATATATATGAGTTTATCAGGTACACAGAGCTTTTTTGTAAAGATGGGCTAGGTAGGCAGGATGCTAACATCATCTGTGGGAGACTAGAATTATCGAAGACTCTTTCCTTATGTACATTTTACACAAATATTGGTGTTTACAACTCTTCTATGGGGAACTACTTAACTCTCTTAATGCACCCAGTTGGGCAAAAAGCTACTCAATATTTTTCTTTAAAGAATGGCTCTGAGGACAGTAATTCTGAGCTCATAGCAATGTCAGGCAACTTTGACTCCTGCCCGCTGAAAGATAACTACTCCTACCCATCCTTCTAAAATTCTTCAAAAATCATGGAAGAAGGTATTCAGCATATATAAATTGTCAGAATTATAATAATTTAAGCCATGGAGGGAAAAAATTGTTCATTACAATTCAACTTAAACCTCAACTCCAGCTCTCAGCAATGAGGAATTACCAGGCATGCTTTGTTATTGTTTCGCCACTCCCTACAGAAAAGTGCCTTCATTTGCATTTTACTAAAGCCACACTGGTACAAGATTTGACTAGAAGAAAGAAAATGTTAATTCTGAATTAAGAAAAATGTGTATCTATTAAGTGTATATTATGGTAGAACCAGCTTAACTGGAATGACCAGCATTTGTATTGTCCATACACTACACCACCAATTAATAATGGGACCCACTGATGGTGTCTGTATGTAAACTAGAAAAATGGCCTGTTTCTTGAATTTCATTAGCTGTAAATTACCATTCATTAGCATATACATTATACTGCACAGCAGTTTGGGCAGTCCAGATGAAATAAGTCTATGTTAACATATTGTTCTGCTTGTTAGTTATATTGATTGTTAGTGAATAAGAGTAATTTTCCACATCTTCCTCATCAAGAGTCAACTGTGACCTTTGTGAGCAGCTAAGATTTGCATTTCCATTAATGCAACTGAAGATACACATAATTAGTGAATCCCCCATGGAAAAGGTCACCATGGTCTTTAAAACTAGCTTACAGCTATCTTAAAAGGTACCAAAGAGGTTCTCCTTTTATAAAGGTAGAGGAGGCAAGACTTAGGTATCTCCTATGGGAGTCCACATCTCAGGTTACCACAGGTTCAGTGACCTTCTTGCTCCTCTCAAGCCCTGGTGCCAGCCCCGATCCTCTCCCCTTGGGTGACCTGACACCACGATGATCCATTTATCAGAAAAGCAGCTCCTTGAGATGGGGAAAGAGGGAGATACTTGTGTTTGCTTACTTGGGGCAAGCAAAATAAATAGGTTGGGACAAAAAAATAACTCTGAAATCTCTCAGAAAAGGTGGGAGTTTATGCAAGAGATCTACAAACTCAGAAGGAAAGGATGTCTGGCTGTCTTCTACTCCAACCCCCTGTTCAGAGCAGGGCCAACTTCAAAGCTTGTTCAGGCTGCTTGGGGATATGTCAACTGAGTTTGGAACATCTCCAAGGATGGAGATTACAGCATCTCTCTGGTTCACTGTTGCACCATCTTCTCCATGCAAAGTATTTTCTTTATGTCTAGTCAGCATTTTCCCTTCTGTGAGCTGTGGCCGTTCCCTCTTGTGCTTTTGCTGTGCACCCCTGAAAAATACAGGGTTGTTTTGTCTTCTCTATAACCCTCCTTTAGAGAGTAGAATTACATCTTCCCTCAGCCTCTTCTCCAGGCTAAACAGACGCGGTTCCCTTGGCCTCTCCTTTCTGTTTTGCTTTTTGCTACATAGTAGTTTATGTTATATAACACTTTTAAACTTATTTATTTGTACTTTATTTTATTTGTAACATTATTTATAATAGTTATATTACTTTGCAATTTTCTGCTTCCTATTTTATATGTCATATCAAAATAATTTAATAAAAATTATTTATGCTTATCTTTACAGAAAATACCCCCAAGGCAACTGAAAATTAGTTATTGTTGATTAAAACTCAATAAGGAACGATCTAGTTAAATGTCCCTTCATCATGGAACGTGTTTAGATCGCACATTAGTGGGACAATGCCCTGGGGTACGCCTTTAAATTAAGGACATTAAATTAGTCAGAATAACTGTACTAAAATGAAAAAGAATTCAAGCCTTTTTCATTTCAATCAGACTGAAGAATAAAATCAAAATTTCAACAGAAGCCAGATCCAGAGATGTTCATTGCGTTAACTTCACACACATGCAACTTCTATAGCATCCTCATTGTAAGAGTGAGCAAAGACATAACATGCCAAACTAGTAAACAGATTCAACTTCAATTTTAGAGTGTGGAACAAACTTTACAAGTTTATCCAAGTATTATATTTGGAATAAATTACATGTCTAAATTCTGCCCAGAGAACTGGAACAGTGACAATCGCTACTAACCACTTGTAGTGCTGACAGAAGAGCAATGAAATAAAATAGGCAGCCATGGGTGATTATAGGAGAATATTGACACACATTTGTAATAGCGTCCATCAGAACAACAGAAGAATCTATCACTCTACTAGGATTAATAGGATAGAAAAAATAATAACAGAATAGAAAAAAAAATAATTAATAGAATAGAAAAAAGAAGCAATATACTCTTAATCACAATAATAGTATGTACAAAATTCATGCATGGATAAAAAGTAACTCCTATTTAACTACTATCAAGTGCACCACATAGCTTACAGACAAGAAACAGTGTTTTGGCTGTGGTTTATATCAGCAGGTAGCAGGGATGTGTGTAATGCCATTACTCCTGGGAAAAGGTTGTAAGAATACAAGGAAATTATCAAAGCTGTTGGTGGTTTTGATAGGTATAGGCAAGAGAATGGCTAGATTGATTATTTTTCTGCTTTGAAGTTATATCTGTACACTTTTATGCTTAAAGGTATGGATATTAACTTAATTAAGGTGGTGATTTTTTGTTTGTTTGTTTGTTTGTTTTTTAAGTTCTGACTACTTAACACATCTCTGCTACCAGCAAAAATTTGAGAATTGTCTAATTCTGACCTAGTAGGTATAAGACTTCCACAAAAAAGATCAAAGAAGTTCCCAAGAGTTTTCATTTCTCTGATAAGGAGCTTGGAGGAAAGGGGTCAATCTCTGTAATATCCTTGCCTGACTGCCTAGAATTCATCGCTTGCAGCTTTTTAAATTTATCTACATTTGACTTGACTTGCACTAATAATTATGATTTTAAATAAATTTTAAAGTTAGAAAATCCTGTGCAATGAAATTCAAAAATTTCCTTTAATAATGTCCCTAGACATTAGCTGTTTCATCACAGCCTTGCATACCTGCCTTGTAGCAGGGTGCAACTGGTGATTTATTTAGCACTGTTGCCAGCATTCCTCTCTTCAGATGAGTTTATAGCTTATGAACAGTTGAATACATGGATTTATGCAAAAAGGATCCAGAGCCCAAATCTAACCACTGGCAAGTCTGTCTCATCAGAAATTAGGAAATTATAAAAAAGCAACCCATGGAAATTAGTTCAGGTCATCCATGGTCAAAAGAAAAATCTTCCAGATAGTTCTTTTTAGGAATTTACAGACTGTGTTTCATCAGTTTTGTAGGTATTGTAGCTAGAAAAAGTAGAATATGAGAAACAACTATGTCTGCACTGACTTCACTTAGCTTTGGGTTTGTTTGGGGTTTTTTTGAGCAAAGCAGAAAAATGAGTAATTTCATAGAAGCAAAGAATTAGACATGCTGTGTCAGTCACTGAATCAAGCATCTTCCTGCTGCACCCCATGCACCCCCTTTCTCTGTTTTTGCAAGCAATACATTAAAAGCAGTTAGGGGATTTTTTTTGCCCTCAAATGCTTGGAAGGCTAATCCAGTACTTGATCACTCTATTGAATATAAATCATGTTTCATTTCCATCCTAAACTGAATATGTCTATGTTTTGCATGTTTAAAAGCTGAGTGTAAACCAGTTACAGTTACTGCTGCTAAAGTGGTGCTTGCTAGTTCAGAGTCTGGTCCCCAGATACCACAGACATATCATTTGGTGTCCTTCATAAAACAGTTGCAAAGAAGGGAAGAAAATCCATCCAAAGCAAAGAATCTGAGACTTTAGAGTCTGAAAAGGAGAAATTTTGCAGTGTGTGATCCTTCTTTTCCTATGTTTGCCTGTCATTCCTTTCCATGGAAGTCTGCATTGCTTTTGTCTCCAAAAGATCTGTGCCTCTGTATTTAGGGGAGGAGTGTGCACTCAGAGGTCACAGAATCACAGAATGTTAGGCCATCTCTCTCTTGATTCAGTTTTGAAAAAAGGTATGTTAACTGTTCTAGCCAAAGCACTTTCTGGCTTTCATCCACGGAAGAAAGATCTTGCTGTACTTTTGAGCAAGAAAAGAGATGTAAAGAAATGGAATGAGGACAATGAAATAAGGATGATGAAAAGATGACACAGAAGAACAGATTAAGTATCTTCAGTATTTGTTTAAACAATTTCCTACTGTGCCCACAGTCCTTCTTGTTTATTTGGATGTTCCCTTTACTTTACATTTGAATCTCATTTTGCTGTTCATAAAGCTTTCTATTGGCTGTGCAAAAGTCCTACAAAATTCCATCCAGGAGATTCTTTTTGTATTATAGTTACTGGATTTGCATTTCAGATGTAAAATCTATAGGGTCAAGCTCCACTCTCACTCAGTGGATCAAAGTTTCATCTTATAACC